CGAGGCAGGCGCGGGGGGGCGGCCGGGCTCTTCTCGTGGGCAGCTTTCCACGCCAGCGGCCCCAGGGCCTGCTCATCCACCGGAGGGAAGAGAGCGGGGTCCCTGCCCTTGCTGCTGCCGCTCCGGGTAAGGGGGGATTTTTTGGACAGTGAGAGGTCGCCGATGCCCATGGTGACCTCGTCGTCAGTGCAGACTCGCGTGTTGTCGCGGTGCATGGAGGCTGCCAGCACTGAGGGTGCTATCAGCCCCCATGGCTCCGACTGCAGCCGCTTCAGCCGGGGAAGGTGGGCTCTCCGGGCAGTGCCAGCTCTCTGGGCTGGGGAGAGTGGCTCGGTGTCCCCGGGGTGTGAGGGTTGTGGGGTGCTCTCCTTCTCGGCAGGGGAAGATGCCAAGGCAGGAGTTTTTGGGTGGGCACTAGAGGGGGCTGTGTCGGCCTCGGGGGGACCCCTCTCCTTGAACTCCAGTGCAGGGGGAATGTTCAGGTACTGCTTGGTGGTCTTGGTGCCGGAGGCTGACGTGTCCATGGTGATGATGATAACCTCCTTCCCCTTGGCCCTGCAGGCATTCAGGAGGTGCTGCAGCACAGCTCTGTCGTCTGCATTGATGGCATGGACCAGCGCTGAGGCTCCCGAGTGGTCCTCCAGGCTGGGATCTGCCCCGCTCTTCAGCAGCAGGGACACCACATCCCCCCCAGCCCCGTGGATGCAGGCATGCATGAGAGCTGTTTTCCCAGACTTGTCCTGGATGTTGGGGTCAGCTCTGTTGTCCAGCAGGTACTTCACCATCTTGGCCTTGTGGATGCTCTGCTGGTCGACATGCGTGGTGATGCAGGCCACCATCAGGGCAGTCTCCCCCTTCTCGTTGCTCTCATTGATGTAAGCTCCCCCCTCCAGCAGCAGCCGGGTCAGGCGGAGCCGGCCGAGCCACACGGCCTTCAGGAGGGAATTGCCCCCCAGCTCCAGCTCTGTTGCCTCATCCATGGCATCAGTGTTCACTGCTGGGTGATGGCAGTGGCAGTTGACAGCTGTGGAAGGAACTGTGGAGGAGAGATGAGCCCTTCTCCTCTGCCCTGCCTTCCTGGGGTGCCACGCTCTGGGCACTGCTCCACATCCCACTGCCCCTCTGGCCACGTCCACCCACCTGATGCAGACAGCTTGTCGGATGTGCTGGTTTCCCTGAGAGATCAGACCTAATGCTCTCCATTGGCCTGCTAAGTGTGGGGGGCCACAACACAGAGCCCACTGGAGACAGCATGAGCATTGCCCATGGCTTTCTGGGCTGGAACTGCCGTCTCTGCCTCCTTGCTGCTGGAGGGAAGGAGAAAGCCACAGTCGTGCTGTCCACTGTGTTTCTACTGTCCC